TTGTGCCTAAATTCCTCAAACTGCATCCCAGATGACCTTCCAGTCTTCCATCTCTTTTTGCAAATTGTCCCCCACATTAGTTTTAAGATTAATTTTCTTAAAACTGTTTTCACCAAGTTATTCTTTTTTTGTGTTTTTATTTATTTTAGAGATAGGAAGGGGAAGGGAGAGAGAAACATCGAACGGTTGCCTCTCACACATGCTCCAACTGGGGACAGAACCTGCAACCTGGGCATATGCCTAGAATGGAAATGGAACCTGAGATCTCTAGGTGCATGGGAATGACACTCAATCAACTGAGCCACACCAGCCAAAGCTCACGAAGTTATCACTTGCTCAGAAAATCATAACAACTCCCAACTTGCCCCTGCACACTATAACAAACCTGAACTCATCTGCAGACACAAGCTGTATTGGACTCAATAACTCATAGGGTCTTTACATTCATTGCTCGCTAACAATGAAGAAATAAAAAAAAAAAAAAAAGAAAGAAAGAAAGAAAGAAAGAAAGAAAGAAAGAAAGAAAGAAAGAAAGAAAGAAAGAAAGAAAGAAATCCAGTCCAATGTTTTCTAATTGGTTAAAACTACTTGAACTCTATGGTTCTACATGAGCAAAATCCATATTTCTAACAATTATCTCAAGAACCGTATTGTTTTGGTAGGAATACCTCATGGAGACAAGGAATTCTAGGCAATGTCAGTTTTCCCAGGAATGCAGGAGTTTCCATCTCTAGAGCTTCCAAACTTTCACAGGCTGCCTCGCTGTCCGCTTTTACATCCTTATCTAACTTCTCATTACTCCCTTATATACAACCTTCTCCTTTCCCCCATGAGAGAGGTTATGTCTCTTTTTATTTGTTTTGCTTTCTGCCCTTCTTACACACTTTCATTCCGTCTTTTCACTGCATAATGATTTACTCTTTCTAAATCTATTAACTCACTTTACTTATATTATTCTAAATACCAATACCAAGATAGTTCAGCCAATGTCTATGCCAGTGGTCGGCAAACACATTAGTCAACAGAGCCAAATATCAACAATACAACGATTTAAATTTCTTTTGAGAGCCAAATTTTTAAAACTTAAACTTCTTCTAATGCCACTTCTTCAAAATAGACTCACCCAGGACGTGGTATTTTGTAGAAGAGCCACACTCAAAGACCACACTCAAGGGGCCACACTCAAGGGTATTTTGTGGAAGAGCCACACTCACGAGCCGCAGTCTATGCCATTGGCAAGCCTAAGGTATGAGCAGAGGAGAAAGGAAAATGAAAAAAAAAAAAAAAGAAAGAAAGAAAAAGTAGTAGAAGAATTTTGGAAAGATAAGTAATGATAATTGCTGTTGTTATCAAGTGTTTAGGTTATGCCAGATACTTTCAATACATCCTCAGATTGCCATCTCCTAGCTTCGTGTTTAAAATGAGGAAACGGGGAGTTAAATTACCTGAGGCTGGTAAGGGTCAGAGACAAGATTGCATCCCAGCCGAAACCGGTTTGGCTCAATGGATAGAGCGTTGGCTTGGGGACTGAAAGGTCCCGGGTTCGATTCCGGTCAAGGGCATGTACCTTGGTTGCGGGCATATCCCCAGTAGGGGGTGTGCAAGAGGCAGCTGATCGATGACTCTCTCTCATCGATGTTTCTAACTCTCTATCTCTCTCTCTTCCTCTCTGTACAAAATCAATAAAATATATTTAAAAAAAAAAAAAAAAGATTGCATCCCAGGGTGAATTATGCCCATCCTCTTGCAACTAAAAAATATTATCTCCTTAACATAGAGTAAAAAAAGAAGCACATAGTGGAGAAAGACAAGGCCTTATTAACAATTGCTTCAAGTGCTACTAAAAAATAATAGCACCACTAGTCACCAAAAATTATTTAGAGACATCCATTAAGCTTTTAGCATGACAAAACTTAAAATTTTTCTTTTATATGCAAACCCCTTTATCTCATGAATAAACTGCATGGTCAATTAATATTTGATAAAGATAGTCTATTCAATAAATGGTGTTGAAAAAATTGGACAGAGCCCTAACCAGTTTGGCTCAGTGGATAGAGCATCAGCCTGGGGATTCAAGGGTGCCAGGTTCAATTCCAGTCAAGGGCATGTATCTTGGTTGTGGGCACATCCTCAGTAGGAGGTGTGCTGGAGACAGCTGATCAATGTTTCTTTCTCACTGTTTCTAACTCTCTATCCCTCTCCCTTCCTGTCTGTAAAAAAGCAATAAAATATATATATATTTTAAATTGGACAGAAATTTACAGGAAAAAAAAAAGAAGAAGAAGAAAGAGCATGGCCTGCATGGTTCAGTGGTTGGGTGTCAACCTATGAACCAGGTCACAGTTTGATTCCTGGTAAGAGTATATGCCCAAGCTGTGGGCTCCATCCACAGTGGGGGATGTGCAGGAGGCAGCCGATCAATGAGACTCTATCATTATTGATTTTTTTTTTTAGCACTCTCACTCTCCCTTCCTTTCTTAAATCAATAGAAATACATTTTAAAAACTAAACAAATCTTACACTATATACTTCTTACACTGTACACAAGAATATGGATTAAGGCCCTAACCGATTTAGACCAGTGGATAAAGCATTGGCCTGCGGACTGAAAGGTCCCAGGTTTGGTTCCGGTCAAGGGCATGTACCTTGGTTGTGGGCACATACCCCACTAAGAGGTGTGCAGGAGGCAGCTGAATCAGTGTCTCTCTCATCGATGTTTCTAACTCTTTATTCCTCTCCCTTCCTCTCTGTAAAAAATCAATAAAATATATTTTTTAAAAAGAATATGTATTAAAGACTTAAATGTTAGCCTTGAAACCATGAAAATCCTAGAAAAAAACAGGCAATAAAATTTCAGATATTTCTCATCGCAATATTTTTTTCTGAAATATCACCTAGGGCAAGGAAAACCAAAGGAAAATAAATAAATGAGACTATATCAAACTAAAAAGTTTTTACACAGCAAAGAAAACCATCAACAAAATAAAAAGACAATCCACTAAATGATAGAACATGAACGCCAATAATATATCTGATAAAGGGTCGATATCCAAAATTTATAAATAATTTATAAAACTCAACATCAAACAAACAAACCAATTAAAAACTGGGCAAAAGATCTGAATAGACAATTCTCCAAAGAAGATATAGAGATGACCAATAGACATATGAAAAGATGCTCCCTGCCGAAACCGGTTTGGCTCAGTGGATAGAGCATAGGCCTGTGGACTGAAGGGTCCCAGGTTGATTCTGGTCAAGGGCATGTACCTTGGTTGTGGGCACATCCCCAGTGAGGGGGTGTGCGAGTGCAGGAGGCGGCTGATCGATGTTTCTCTCTCATCGATGTTTCTAACTCTCTATCCCTCTCCCTTCATCTCTGTGAAAATTAATAAAATATTTTTTAAAAGAAAGAAAAAAAATACTCCCTGTCACTAATCATCAGAGAAATTAAAATTAAAACCAGAATGAGATATCACCTCATACCCATCAGAATCAAACAATCAACAACAAGTGTTGGCGAGGATGTGGAGAAAAGGGAATCCTTGTGCACTATTGGTGGGAATGCAGACCTGTGCAGCCACTGTGGAAAACAATATGGAGTTACCTCAAAAAATTAAAAATGGAACTACTTTTTGACCCAGTGATTCCACTTCTGAGAATATACAGGGTATCCCCCCAAAATGTATACACACTTTAACAGCTAATGGCTCAATTTTGAAAATAAAAATATATTTTAATAAACACTTTACAGTTATTCAAATTGTGTGTGTGCATTTTTGGGAACATCCTAAATAAAGAAACCAGAAACATTAATTTAAAAGAATATATGCACCCCTATGTTATTCATAATAGTCAAGTGCCCACCAATAGATGAGTGGATTAAAAAGCTGTGTACAGCCGAGACCGGTTTGGCTCAATGGATAGAGCGTCGGCTTGGGGACTGAAGGGTCCCGGGTTCGATTCCGGTCGGGGGCATGTACCTTGGTTGCGGGCATATCCCCAGTGGGGGGTGTGCAAGAGGCAGCTGATCAATGACTCTCTCTCATCTATGTTTCTAACTATCTCTCTCCCTTCCTCTCTGTACAAAATCAATAAAATATATTTTTAAAAAATAAAATAAAAATAAAAATAAAAAGCTGCGTACATTTACCTAATAGAATACTACTTACCCATAAAAAATAAGGAAATCTTACCCTTTAAGACAACATGGATGCACCTGGAGAACATTATGTTCAGTGAAATAAGCCAGTCAGAGAAAGTCAAGTACTATATAATTTCACTTTTATGTGGAATCTAATGAACAAAATAGAAACAGACTATTAAATAGAAAACAGACTAACAGCTGTCAGAGAGGGATGGAGGGGAATGCGGGACAGGGTGAAAAAGGTGAAGGGATTAAGCAAAAAAAAAAATTTAAAAAAAATACCAACATAGTCACAGACAGACAAACATATGGCTATTACCAGAGGAAAAGGGGGGGGGGGTAGAAGCGGGTATAGGGGGGATAAATGCTGATGGAGAGAGACTTGATTTGGAGGGGTAATTATAGAATACAGTATACAGGCGGTGTATTACAAAATTGTGCTCCTGAAACCTATATGATTTTATTAACTGATGTCACCCCAGTAAATTCAATTTTAAAAGTTTTTTAAAAGTGTTAGATCTAGCAGGTTCTCAGTATATATCTATTTTGAGCTCTATACTTCTTCCTCATATCTGCCCCCACCACCCTTTGTCTTCCAGCCTTTTTCCTCATTCATCCTGCCCTACATCCAATTCCTACCCTGCTCCTTCTCCATTGCCCTCCATCGGGACTCCCTCATTCCCCTCAAATTCCAATGATCCTCGCACCTCTTTTCCCGCCCTTTTCCCCACCTCCAAGGTGACAAAGCTTGAGGACCTCATTGTCTTTCTCCCCCATCCTCGAAGCAGCCCACAGGACAGCCTTGTTACCATGACAACATAGCTGCTCGAAGCTGAAGGCGAAGGACCTGGTTGCCATGGCTTCCGCTTCTCCTCCTCCATCCATCCTCCGCCCGCGCGCGCGCCTCGCAGCTACCGCGCCTGCGCGACGCTCAGCGCGAAGGGGCGGGGCGGGGCCGGGCTTCCGCGAGAGGGGGAGGAAGCGGAGAAAGGATAAGACTGGGAGTGGGGCTGGCACCTACGGCGGCCGGAGAGGGACAAGCCAAGACGGAGGCTGCAGGATGGTAGGTTGTGCGAAGAGGAAGGGGAGGGGAGGGGGACCGAGGGGCAGCGGGCTGTGCCTGCGGGGGGTCCGTGGGGGCCTCCCTCTGTGAGGGCCACTCTGTTTTTCTCGGTCCTCAGAGGACCTCCACGTCCTGGGCGGGTGGGCCAGCCGGCCCCGGGGGAAGAGCAGCTGGACATGGCTTTAGGACGGTAGAAGGGGCGGGGAGAGGGCGCGATAGTGGGGCGAGAGAGGGCTGATGGAGGGGGCGGCGGGACTGTCCCGAGCCAGGGGGAGCGCGCGGGTTGCGCGCGATCCGAGGGGTCCCGACCACTGCCGCAGGGAAGTCGCCGAGGAATAGGCGCGAGGGCTTGCGGGCGGGGGCGGCAGCGGGGGTCACACTGCGTGCGGGTGCAGCCCGGCGAGGAGGGCGGCCCGCGGGTCGGAGCTGTGTGGGAGGAGACAGTTTCCGGGTCCCCGGAGAGGACGTCCTGCCTCGGCGGACCACCGGCTCGCCTAGAGGCTGAGTGCGGGGGCGTAAGGCAGGTGGGCTCGAGGTCTTGCCCTGGGGGACCCTGGCCTTGGAACCTGGCTCCGCAGCTCTTGGCTCTCCGCCCCCCGACCCCGATCTCCTTCCGGAACCCTGGCCTTCCGTCTTCCTGCTCCCCTCCTCCACCCCGTCCTAGACGTGCACGGCTCCCTGGCGCTCCTCCGTTGCCTTCCCACCTCGCTAACGGCGCTTCCCCTTCCACACACACACACACACACACACACACACACACACACACACACACAAAAAAAAACCCTTTGTGACCTTCAGCTTACTGAACAGTATTCAACGAGAACTGCTCCACACATCCAGGGATTCCAGCCCTGGGAATGTCCGTGGAGAGAACTCCAGGCTGTGGACTGACCTCTGGAACCTGGAAGCCGGGGCACCCCCGGGTGTGCACCTGGAGGGCTCTGCCCTCCTCCCTACTCTACCTAGCTTGAGCCCTGTTCCACACATCCCCTTGGAGAGCCACCTGGATGGCAGTGTTCTAACTGAAAAATGAAAAGAGAAATTGGTCATCTGATAACTGGGAAGGAGTGGCATGTAACAGGGAGATATCATGAAAGGGAGAAGTGAGAAGTCCTGGCCCGGTGGCTCGCTCAGTGGGTTGGAGTGTTGTCCCAATACACCAAAAGGTTGCCAGTTCTCCTCCACTCCAGGTCAGGGCACATATGGGAGGCAACCGGTCAATATTTCTCTCTCAAACCAATATATATATTGGTTTGAGAGAGAAATATATATATATATATATCCTAGGATGAGGATTGAAAAGGATATATATATATCCTCTGCTTTTTCACCCTAGGATATATATATATATCCTAGGATGAGGATTGAAAAGGGGTGGGGGGAGGGGGGAAGATCAGTGGCCAAATGCCTGAATGGCTGAAGAGAGAGGAGGCTGGAATTTGGAGAGGGAGGAGTCTCAATACCATGTGCTAACATGAAGGATACCCCTGGGCAGAGGACTGGCACGGGATGGGAAAGCAGTGTGTTAGGAACATCTTTAAGGGTGAATGCTAGGATGGGGTGGAGAATTGAGGTAGCTTCTCCAGGGACAGAATACCTAATTTCAGTCAGTATGGTGGTGAACAGGAGCATGGAAGAAAGCAGACAGAGGCTCTGACATCAGCTGTGGGCTGATTGTCACTGTGCTAGGTATTGTACTTACCTTTAGGAAACAGTTTGGAAACAGGAGGTCAGAGAAAAATAATAGTTATACCTGATGTGTTAGTGTTTACCTTATGCCAGACACTGTTGCATATATCAACTCATTAATCCCTCCTAATAACTTTGTAAGTAAGTACTTTTATTATCTATTTTACAGAGCAGGAAACATAAAGTAATTGCCCAAAGCAACTTACTCAACTAGTAAAGCAGGGATTTGAATCCAAATGGCAGACAGACTCAGAAACTCTGACACCCCCCAGAAGGAAAGGCACCAGCTGGTGGGAATGCCCAGAGTTGAGAGCAAGGGCTGATTATTTGAAGAAAATAGAAGCTGTGAGTGGAGAAGAGTTAGATGAGTTTGGGGCAGTATGTTTGTGAAGGAAAGAAACTCAGAGAACCAAATCTCTGACCCTCAACTCTGCCTCTCATTTCCCCATCCCTACCCTCTGTTTTCCCCCCAGATGCGATTCATGCTGCTGTTCAGCAGGCAGGGAAAATTGAGACTGCAAAAATGGTACCTGGCCACATCAGACAAGGAGAGAAAGAAGATGGTTCGGGAGCTCATGCAGGTTGTTCTGGCTCGCAAGCCTAAAATGTGCAGTTTCCTGGAGTGGAGAGACCTCAAAGTTGTCTATAAGAGGTGACTCCCCACCTGCTTTCAGACTTGCCTGGATCCTGCTTGATGGGGGCTTAGCAGTGGGTTTAAATAACTGAGTAATAAGCAGTCCTAGGACGGGGAGAACTGGGGCTAAGGACACCTCGAGGGCAGTGCTGAAATCCAGCTTTCTTTCCTTCCTACATTCACCTTGAAATTCTTGTTCCCCAACTAACTGGTTTGGCTCAGTGGATAGAGCGTAGGTCTTCAGACTCAAGGGACCCAGGTTCAATTCTGGTCAAGGGCATGTCCCCGGTGGGGGGGATACAGGAGGCAGCTGATTGATGTTTCTTTCTCATCAATGTTTCTGACTCTCTCTCTCCCTTCCTCTCTGTGGAAAATCAATAAAATATTTTTTGGGGGGAAAAAAAGAAGAAGAAGAAATTCTTGTTCCCCACTTAGTTTTGCTCTAATCTCACACCTACTTCACACACATACTTCTGTCCCAAGAGCCATATCTTGTCCATTACACATGTCCCTTGCTGTCTCAGTCATAAATAATAAATCCTGTGCCACTTTCCCAACACACACACATACACACGCCACCACCATTTCTAGTTCCTTCTCTGAGAAGGTGAAATTAGTTGGCTCAGGTTTTTGCTGAGTCAAACCGAGCAGGTCAGAGAGCAAGAGGAGGAAAGAGTTTGTTGCCTGTTTGTGAGAGGCTCTAAGCGGCTGAGCGAGTTACTATTTGTATATCCTGGAGCCACCCCAGCTTTGTCCCGAAGCCACACAGACCCTGGGCTTGGAATAAGGAGAAATGAGAGGTTTGAGCCCAGAGTGTCTGGGTCCTGGGGCAGGCCAATAGCCCTTTCAGCTGTCTCTCATGTGCCCTTCTCCTCAGATATGCCAGCCTCTACTTCTGCTGCGCCATCGAGGGCCAAGACAATGAGCTCATCACCCTGGAACTGATCCACCGATATGTGGAGCTCCTGGACAAATACTTTGGCAGCGTAAGTCACCCTCCCCTGTTTCCATACTCAGCAATCCCCTCTTCCCTCCCAACTCTGGGATCCTTGGAATCTCTGCCCTGGAATAGTTGGGAGAGGTGAAGTTGGAGCAGTGAGAATGGTAAATCATCTCCCTCTTTAGCCATGCCCTTTAATCAGTCTGGGGGAGGAGGTAGAGACCAGAATCTGCCTCTTAATCAATCCATCTAGAACTCAGCTCAGACTTCTCATAAAAGGACAAAAGTCATATTGAAATTTTATCAGCAGTTCCTGATCTTAAAGACTCCTTCCCTGCCCCAAAGAATTTAGGGAAGAAGGCTAACCCAGTGCTGGTGAAAACAATGTCACAGATTCTGAGGGACAAGGCAACGAAAGCCACAGTCAAGGACAAAGAGGCAAGAGAAGGAGAGAGAAACTGGTCCAAGCACTAAGGCCTAGGGGTCAGGAGGACATAGACCTGGGGCAGGAACTAAGGTTGGAGGGTACTCATGAAGAAGAGGAGACATATTGAGAAACGAGGTGGCGCATGTGGGGTGGGAATGCACTTCATTACTCTGCCTTTTCACCCTCTTCTCAGGTGTGCGAGCTGGACATCATCTTCAATTTTGAGAAGGCTTACTTCATCTTGGATGAGTTCTTGATGGGGGGTGATGTCCAGGACACCTCCAAGAAGAGTGTGCTGAAGGCTATTGAGCAGGCTGACTTGCTGCAGGAGGTATGGGCCTGGGACAGTGAGGAGGAGGAGGAGGAGGAAGAGTATCATGGTAGAAGGTGCCCTCCCTCCCCTGAACACCCTGCCTGCCACATCTGCCTCTTCCCACCACCGCCAAAGGGCCCCCTCCCTGTGGGGTCTGGCCCCCTCACCTGTTTGGGGTAGGAGGTGGTGGTGGCAGACAGCCACCTGTGTCAATTCTCTCCTTCTGGAAAGGTGTCTCACCACAGGCAAATCTCCTTTGTCTCTTGCTTCTCTTGGCATATAAGGGTTGCTCAGAGAATTGGAGAAGAAACAAATGGTAAATAATGCTTTTCTTCCCTGGTGTCTGCCCCTTACCCCTTTTTTTGCATGCACATACTCAAAATGAGCCTCTGATTTTCAGAAGCAAAATGCTGAAGGGACTTGGGGGTTGGTGAACAGGTCACCTAGCTGTTGTTTCACCCTGCTATCCAGTGTCCCTGCCCTCAGCCCATTACTGCTTGTCCCCTCTCTGCTGTGCCACTGCTGAGGCTTGGTGCAGGAAGATGAGTCACCGGAATCTGCAGTGACAAACAAGCTGGCATGAGCTGGCTCTGAGGAGGGGGTGAGATAGGGGTGCAATAGGAGAAAGAGCAGAATTGAACTTGCCACATTACTGATACAGATTCCCTTACACACACACACACACACACACACACACACACACACACACACACATACATATTAGCACACACATCCCCTGGCACATACATTCCTATTACTAGTGCTCTGCTCGGACCCCAATGACTCATCTCTCTGCAGTCTAGTTCACCTTACCTCAGAGACCTGATGCCAACCTCTTACTCGCCCACATCACTGAACAAAAGGTCCTAACCATTTGCCACCCTCATAACCCTTGGAACGTGTTTCCTATCCTCAAGTCATAGCTTCACTCTTTCACTTCAGATACTAAGCTGGGCCCCCCTGCTCACCAACTTGGTCCCTGGTTCTCTGGGGAGGGCGGGGGATGGACTCAACCTGAGTCCTTGCCACAGTTGGCTCTGGGAGGTAGTCCTATGGGGGCCTGGGAAACTCCCCTGAAGGGTCCCCCACTGTGCTGCCTTGAACTCACATTGGCTTCTCTCTTTCTCTCCCCTTCCCTGTTTCTCTGTGTCCTTCCTCCATCCTTGTGATGCTGTTGTCCTGTCCACCCACCTCCTTCATTCCCTGTCTGCCTTTCCTGCTGTCTCTGCGTCACCCTCTGCTTGTCTCTGCCTTAGGAGGATGAGTCGCCACGCAGCGTGTTGGAGGAGATGGGACTGGCATAGCCTCTGCGCAGGCCACATGGAGACGTGGGGAGCTGGTGGAGAGGCAGGGCACAAGTGGCCCTTTTCTTGGTGGGACTCAGCTGTCCCTCCTCTGCTGTCTCACCTTCTTTTGGAGTGAGCTATAGGCTCAGGACCCTCAAACAGTCCCTTCCTCCACCCCCTACCTCCTGTGTTCCCTTTTCCTACTGAAGGTTTTTGGAGCTAGGAGACAGGAAAATATGACCAAGACCCAAGATGGGGGTGCTATTTGGCTTTCATTCCCTGCCTTTGAAGAACTATTACTCCAAATTTCCTTCCCTCCCCTTATAATTGTAAATATATAAATATGTCAGGTTAAAGGGAAAAGGTTTTCAGGGCTCTTCTCGTCTCCCTGCCCCATATCCTACCTCCACCCCTCCCACCCCTGCAGCCAGCCAGGGCAGCTTCTCTGCCTGGGAAGGGGGCATCTGTGTAGAGACTAGGTCATCCTTTCCCCTCACCTGCACCCTCCCTTCCTTCTTGGCTGCGGTAGGGCCTCTGTCCAGTGCTTGGGGAGGAACAACATAGTTAATTTTTTTCTAACCTTGCCGCTTTGAGGGAGGGAGGGTTGGGGGAAGGACAGGCTTCATAGGAGACTGGGCCCTATCTCGCCTTCATTCCATATTCGGGGTGAGGCAGAAACCAAGGGGTTGGTGGGGTGGGCAAGTGTCTGACTTTATTTCCTTTCCTCTGAAATAAAAGAAAAGCATTTCTGGACTTCGCCTGCCTGAGGCTCTGTGAAAAAAGATAGGGCTGCTGGGATCAGTTAGGAAGGGAAGGGAACACTGCACTTGACTCTTCCCCAGAAAAGGGGTTGCCAGATTAAAGCCAGAAATAAAATAAAAGATACATAGTTCAATTTGTATGATAATGAATAATTTTTGTTGTTGTTAATCCTCACCAGAGAATATCTTTCCATTGAAAGAATCATTGATGTGTCTCACATTGATTGGTTGCCTCCCAAACTCAGGATTGAACCTGAGACCCTTTGGTGCACAACTGATGGTCCAACCCCTGAGTAACACCAGCCAGGACAATGAATAATTTTTAAGGTTAAGTGTATCCTATGCAAATGTATCCATTGCTTATCTAAAATGCATATGTAACCGTGTATCCTGTATTTTATCTGACAACCCCTACCAAAAATATATTTGCTGGCTCAGTGTCTCCGCAACCAGCTAGCTCCCTGAGCTGTCTTCAGCCAGAGAGGAGAAACTTCCTCTAAGGTTTCACTCCTCTAAGGTTTCTTATAGGAGATTTCATTTGCCTGGTTTAGTTTTATATGGGAAGGAGACTCCCTAGTCCAAGGATATATTCTACCTCCCATGCTTAGGAAAGGCTTGAGAAGTGGCTAAAACCAAGATGTCTCTGTGGCTGCCAAACGCCCCCTGTCCCCAAGTTTATTGTGAAGTGTGTAGGACCAGGGGATTTAGGGAGCAGTAAGGGCGGGGTGTCAGTGAGTTGGAACAGGTTCTGTGCCTGTGTGGCCCTTCAGTCAAGAGAAGAGCCTCCTAGGTAGCCCAGTGCTCTGGCTCCTTATCTACTTTGCATCTCTGCCCGACCTGGGGAGCCCATGACTTTGGGTTTCCAAATGGATGTGAGCCAATTCTTCCCCCAAATAGTTTTAAAAAGGGTTGGTGCCACTCAACCCTCCCTTTTGAGCTGGAGGAGATGGGTGTTGTGGCTGGCGTTTCCCTCACCGCCCCTTGGGAAGGACGCTCAGACCCAAGGGGACGGGTGAATAACCGAGAACAAAGTCCTAATAAAATAGTCACTTTTATTTCTTAGCAAAACTATTTCCTCCGTGAGGGGGTATTTACAAGAGAGAAGGAAAAGAAGGTAAATTCACAGCGATGTGGAGGGGCTGTGGGAGGCCCACAGGGCAGCAGATAGACACAAATGGAACTGGGGAACTAGGTGGGGACAGCGGGAGGGAGCTCGCACAAACCATCCGCTCGCCTGCGCTGGCCCTGGGATAGCCACGAGTGAGTTTGGGAAGTTCGGGCTTTGGGCCCAGGAAGAGGTATGACTGGCCCTCCTCCAAGTCCGCGGGCGAGGCGGGGCGGGGGCCGAGGGCGGGGCTGGGACGCATGCAAATACCCAGAGGGACAGGAGCGACACGGAGGGGGGTGACCACGCGCCACGGTGGCGCTCGGGGGCGGGACCGGTCACGGGCGTTGAAGCAGCACGTGCTCGATGTAATTCTCCAGCTCCTCCTGCTCCTGCAGCCGGCGCTCCTCCGCCTCTGCCTCCGCCTGCGCGCGCCGGGCCTGGGCCTCCCCGCCCGGGTAGTGGCGCGAAGGTGGCAGGAGGGCATGGTGGTAGTGGCGGCGGCGCGAGGCAGCGGGCGGCTGCAGCGTCCGCGGCCGGATGTAGTTGGGAAAAGGGTGGTAGGGCCCCGGGGGAAACACCTCGTCCTCCTCCCGATCCCAAGGCGGGAGCACCTCGTTCCAATCCTGCAGCTGGTCTCCAGCGGGGACCGGGACGGGGGCGGGGGCGGGGGCGAGGGGCGGGGGCTGCGGGGAGCGGATGTGGGTGGGCACGGGGGCAGCCCGTGGGGGAGGCACGGGCTCGGGAGGGGCGTTCTTCTTCCGCTTCCGCTTCTCCTCCACCTCCTCGATGATGCTGACCACGTCATCCGCCGGCAGGTGGAGTTTGGTGGACAGCTCAATGAGGCTATCGATGGTCTGTGGGTCCATCTCGTCGTCGTCGTCCTCCTCCTCTCCGCCCTCCTCTGCCCCCTCGGCGTCCTGCCGACGGTGGCCGGGCATCTCCTCCTGGGAGCGCTTGTCCTCAGCGGCGGCTTCCCTGTCCTCCTCCTCCTCGGCGAACAGTAACGCGTTCTGCCGCGCCCTCTCCGCCTCCTCCGCCTCCGCCTCTGCCTCCGCCGCCTCCGCGTCCTCTTCCCCCACCCGCTCCTCGCCGCCGCGTCTCTCCTGCTCCACCTCCTCCTCCCCCCGCTCGCTCTGCCGCACCTCCGGCTGCAGCCCCCGACCCCCCAGGCTGCGTTGGCGGGCCCCACCCTGTAGCAGATACTGGAGGAGCAGGTCCGAAGCCAGGTCCGCCAGCCGCTCCTCTTGCGCCGCGGCCTGCCGGGTGGCCTCCGCCTGCCGCCTCCCTGCCTCGACCTGTGCCAGCCCCTGCTGGAGAAGGCGCTCCCCCGCCTCGGAGCCGCTCAGGAGTGAGCCCTCCGGCCGGCGCGCCTTGGGGAAGGGAGTGCCCAGGCCTTGGTATGCCTTGGACAGGGGTGCCAATCCCTCGCCTAGGTGTGTTTTGGGGGAAGACACTTTTTCCCCGAACTGGTGGGCTTCGGGAAGAGGGCGGCTCTCGGGCATGTGGACCTGGAATTGCTGGGGAGCCGCGGGTGGCAGGGGCGCGCGCTCCGGGACGCGCGCCTGGAACTCCCCCCAGGAAGCGCGCCACACGCGCTCGGGCCCGGGGCTCTCCAGGTTGACTCGGGTCAGGGTGTGCGTGCGAGTTTCCGTCTCTGCTGCTGCGGTCTCCTGCTGGCGCTTGGCATTGCTCGGACTGAAATCTCTCAGTTCCTGGAGCAGGGCAGCCAGCGTCTCCAGCTCCTCAGAGGGGTCGCTCGCCTCGGGACCGTTCTCCTGAGTCTGAGGGCGAGGCGGGGCCGCGGGCGCGTGAGTCTCTGGCGCTGGGAGGCTGTGGGTCTGGCTTTTCACAGTCTCGGTTAACAGAGCTTCTGCTGCTTCTTCCGCTGGCTTCAGCTGGGAGCCGCTGGGCGCCGGGGGCGAGGCCGGGCGGTCCAGTGCCTGTATCAGCACTGCGGCCAGCGCCCGGGGATCCACACCCTGGAAAAGCTCTCCCTCGTCCTGCGGCTCTGAATTTCGAGCGGCTCGGACCTCTGGGGTGCGACCACCATCCTTCAGCCCGGGCACTGCGACCCCAGCTACGGATTCTTTATGCTCGGAGCTGAGGGGAGGTGACTGTACCTCAAGGCGCCCGGGGGGCGCTCCTCCCAGCCCCTTAATCATTACAAGGAAGCAGAAGAGGGCGGAAACTGGCAACCTGAGCGATTTCATGACCGGGGGGCTGCCGGAGGCTGAAAAATAGGAGGGAAGGAAAGAAAGAAAGGATTTCTTTAAGAATTTTCTGCTCTCTGATTCTATATTCCTTTCCCCCACCTTTATAATCAGGAAATCGGGGTTTCCCCTAACCTTACCCAGAAGAGGGACCTTCAGACGCAAAGAAGGAAGACGTGCCGATCTCTGGAGTCGTGTAAATGGGAAAATGCCCACAACCCTCGCACCCACTGTCCCTCCTCGCCCCCTTCTCTGAGCCATCTCATTGCCCGCGCCCACGTATTAAGCAGTGAGGATAACGGGGAAATCTCTGCTCCCTCCCCACAGGACTCTCTGGATGGTGCGTGGGCGACTTCAGCAGCAAGAAAAAAGCGGCGTCTCCCCACTTACCAGGGACCCTTACAGGGGGCTCCCCGATGTGTTTTCAACACCCCCATCTGGGAGGAAAGAGAACCCACCCTCCCTCACACCCACCGCCGCCAGGGTTGGAGGGACAGACACCGGAGTATTTACCAGCTGGTGTCACGGCGCAGGAGGTGGAGAGGAGGGTCGAGGCGGGGTGGGGAATGGGGAAGACCGGAACGCTTCCGCCTCGGCTCCAGAGGTGGTGGCCAGGATAGGACCGCTGGTCGAGGTCTGGCGTCCAGTGGGCTGGGCTCCGCTGGATCCGGGCTGCTCACTCGCTCAGGCTTCAGCACGCTGGACAGCGCCCGCGCCGCTGCCGCCTTATAAACGGGAGCGCGCAGTGTCACGTGGGATTGCCCCGCCCCATTGACGTCACTGTTCATTCATGGCGAAGCGGGCGGGCGCCTAGAGGCGGGAGGATGCCCAGCGATTGGAGGAAGCGGTGTTCTCCCGGCCTGCGACTGCGCACTGAGGTCCTCGGCTGGAGGGGCGTGCGCTAGTGGCGCTCCGGGGAAATGAATGAATGAATGAATGAATGAAATGTCTAAGCGGGCGGGGTTGGGGGCTATGAATGAATGAAGGAGGGACAAGGAGAAAAGGATGAATGAATGAATGGAAAGGTGGATGCAGAGACACTGCAAGACTGGAGGGTGGGTTTTACCTAACAATTTGCAGCGGCGGGAGCCCGCATCGCGAAACGGATGGGGCACTCCCAGGTCTGACAGGGCGCCAGTAAGAAATCCATGGCTGAGGAGGGGGAGGATAAGGAATCCAAAGCGGGGCAGGCAGGGGCAGTCTCCCCACCCTCCGATCTCAGGGTCCATGGGGAACACGCCCAAGGACGGTGTGAACCTGAGAAAGGAGAGGTACGGGCGCTGTACGCGGATCCGCGGTGCGGGGTGCCTGCCCTGGGCCGGAGCAGATGGGTGGATCTTGCGGTTTTGGTAATCCCCCCGAAAAGGGTCCAAGTTGGAAGAGAAGGGAAATATTGAGGGTGTGTGTGGCTCTGTCGTGTCTGTACACTGTCGGTGTGTGTCTGAAGAAAAAGGTGTGTCTGTCCAGTTGCCTCTGTATGTTGGCGCCTCTGCTGTGCCCCCCTTTCAGCCCACCACTCCCCATCCCCCTTCAGTTTCTTTTCCTCCTGCTCCCCCTCCCCCCACAAAGGACGTTTGGAGGGCAAGAGCAAACCAGGTGGGGAGGGGGTTGCGCAGGTGGGAGGCGGTGGCTCAATTTCAGCTCCCTCCATGGCTTGAAGGGAAGGTTGAAACATGTAGGGGGTGGGGGTGTGCCTACAACGTCAGAGGACGCCCCTTACTGCAACCCGACCCCTCGACCGTATCTCCGGCCAGAAGGGCTGGGGCTAGGGGCATGGACAGCTAGAGGTTCCGGGGGTTGGGGGCGATGACGCACAGATTGCGCAAGGAGAATCTATCAGCAAGCCGGGTCCAGTGAAGGGAGACCAGCCGTGGGCGGGGGTGGAGGGGGGACGGAAATGGGGAGGGGGCAGGGGAGAGAGGAGGGAGCCAAGGGGAGCCGCCAGTGCAGGAATGAAGGGGAGGGAGGGGGGCTTTGGTGCAGGCAGAGAGCTGTGCGGAGGCGTGGGCAGCGAAAGGGGGGAGTTACAATGACACACACCAGACACACAAGAACTGCAGGCACAGGGGTACCATGGGCACAGGCAGGGCTCAGATTGTCAGAGCCAGTCCTCAACCCCCTCCTCATCTCTTCCTACCACTAATCCTCCTCCTCCTTTCCCTCCTCCTCCCCCTCTTCCTCCTCCCCCTCCTCTTCCTCCTCTTCTTCCTCCTCCTCCTCTTCCTTCTTCCTCTCTCTCTCTCTCTCTCTCTCTCTCTCTCTCTCTCTCTCACACACACACACACACACAATCACTCACGTGTTTTCCCTCTATAGCCAACAGTGGCTTCTCGGTTCCATCAATGGCTTCACTTTCCCAGAAGAAAGCCCATCAGCTCTGCGAGGAAAGAGGTGGGGAGGAGGAGAGAGAGGAAAGAGAGAAGACAGCAGGAGAGGGAAGAAGGAAGGAGGGAATCTGCAAAAGGTAGAAGGACCAGGCAAAAGGAAGAAAAAATGCTGACAGCCAAGGTGACTGCGGAGATGCCAAGGAAAGAAGGGAGAGGAGGGGGGGGGTAACAGACCCCACGGCAGTACCTCACCCCCACACACCAAATCTAGGATGTCCTGCCCTTGTATCCCCCTGATTCTTCCTTTCCCTTCCCATCTCCCTCTTTCCCCCCGTGTGGTTACTGAGAGCGTTGGAATGAGGAGGGGGGTCACATTACCTTCCCGAGGAGGATGAATCAGAGAGATGGTTCCGACATCTGGAGAGGGGGAGGGGAAGCCATCCCAGAGCCAGGCAAAGCGGGGGAGCCATGGAGGAGCCTGTGAGGCTGATGGGGCTAAGCCACCAAGTGTGAGGGGAGGCAGGCACCTAGAGAAACTGTGTTACTGTGGGCTCATGGATGTGGACACGCACCTCTGTGTGTATGTACATGTGTGTATATGTGCACAGAGATTAGTGAAATAAATGAGAGGAAAGAAAAAGAAAGAGGGTTGGGGGGCCAAGAGTGGTCGTGCTCCGATTTAAACACGCTGTCTTTTCCAGTGTGTGTGGTTGTGTTTTTGCCTGTTTCCAGGTATCTGTGTGTGAATGGGTGTGGGTTCTGAGCCCTTCTGCCAGTATATCTGGGTAGTTAAGAGTCTTGAGTGTGGAACATGTGCCTAGGTTGGTGTGTTGAGTGTGTGTGTGTGTGTGTGTGTGTGTGTGTGTGCAGGTATGTCTTTTGCAGTTCTCTGGGTCCTTCCATGTCTGTTGGTATATGTTAGAGGTTATGTGGACTACTGTGTGCTCTTTCCTGCCCCTTCCCCACATTCACCTTTTCTCTAGATTTCTATGCCATAAAGCCTCAGAATCCAAACCATTCGTCTGCAGCCCTCAAGTTCGGGTCCTTGCCCCTGTTTACAGAGCGTTCCTCCATTCCTCCCCAACTCCCATGCCTCCTTTTCTGCACTCTAGACCAGAAGAACGGCTCAGAAATCAACATCCCTAGAGCCTCAGCCATCTTGGGGTGAGGGAGTTGGCAAGAAGGTGGGAGTCCTGGGCACCGAGGGCTATAGGCTTGATGATTCCACAATCTGGTTCTTGATCCTTCTTATCTGGGTCTGTTTCTGCCTCTCTCCTTCCCAGTTCCCTACCTGGACCAGTTTATTCATGAGCACTCTACCTCTCGAAGATGTACTGTGTTCTTCAAACCTTGCTGCCTTTAGGGGTTTCTGAGGAAGAAGCTGGATTGGGGACAGGTTCCTGGGATCCGGGAAAGAGGGAGTTGACAAGGAAGAAAGAGAAATGGAGAGAGAGCTGGGAAAGGCAAAGCTGAGATGGGGATCTGGAGGGGATGCCTGGTGTTTGCTCTGAGTTGTTTGTACAAATGCATCTCTCTTTGTCTTTGTTTCTGAATCGCTCACTCTCCAGTAGGGTAAGAGAAGATGGGGACTAGCAGAGTAATGATTCAAGCTAAAGCTTTGGAAAACCAGGAGAGGGAAGCATTGGGTCTTTCCCCTGAAAGTTTGGGAGAGAAAAAGAGCAAGGGCTTGTCCCCTTCCCCTTTCCTCCTCTGCCCCTCTCCCCCATACCTCCAGGTTCCTCCTCCTTCTCTTCCTCTCCCCCAACCGGTGACTCACCTCTGCAGGCTTTCATTGCGTCAGCCATGGGGGCGGGGGGTGGGGGAGTGAGGCTGGGCAGGGGAACTTTATGAGAAGGGCAGGGGTCCTCACTTTGGAGGGAAAGAAGCTGCTGAGCCGCCCCCCCCCCTGAAAATGACCCCATTAGAATGCATTATTGCCCTATCCTCTGCCACCCCAGTTGAGTAGAGTGGGGAGTCCTGGGAAGGGGACTGGGAGAGGGCTGAGGGCCACTGACAGGTCTGGGAATTATAAGTAATAGGAAGGGGCTGCTCATCCTAATTTTCAGTCCCCTGGTCCCATTCCCTCATACTCCCACCCACTCCTGAGTGGAGGAAGGGAGATCCAGGAAGCCAGGGGGAGGACAAAGCCGCAGAGATGAGTCACCAAGAAAGGGAGAGAGAGGAAGAGACAGAGATGAGGAGAGACACAGAGAGAGACAACTACTGGAGAGACCGAGAAAAACACACACACGCCATGAAGGAAGGTGATACCCACAAACTAACAAGAAAAAGGGAATTGTTTGCTTCCATAACCCTGAGTCAGCCTCCTCCAACACCCACCTGTCACACACACACACACACACACACCATCATTCAGAGTTACATTGACGTTCTGAGACACACCCATTTACACAAACACAATGTCACATCTAGCCTAGAAGACCCATGCTGAAGATGTGACAGGGTAATGGAGATTTGCGTTGAGAGCCTTCATTCTTCTTACATGGGATAGTGGAAGGGGGTAAAAACTCTGAAGGTATGTGACTTCAAAAACCCAAGATGCGGATCAGGGACTCAAAGGCTACGCCTTACACACACGACAACACACACACATACACACACACACAGTTCCCTGCCTCCCCAGCCACAGCACACAGCAACATATCATGCATC